TGATTTAATATCATTCAGAAAATAAAAATGATATGTTAGTCGTGCTTCGATAGCTCAATGGTTAGAGCACTGGTCCGGATAAGCAGTAATCATATCGTGGGTTCGATTCTCGAACGAAGCATATCATTTATTTTTCTGAATGATATTAATCATCGAAAGTCAAAGGAAGTAAAATTCAGTATTGTATAGTTACATATACTCCTTTTCTATTCTTTAACAGTTACGGTGGATATATATATGCGTATGATACTATCCCAGACGAACTCTAAAGCACGCACACCGACGTCCTACATTTATATCTGTATCTACATCCATACCCTCAACTACAAAAACACGATATAAGCATCAGGTTGGGTCGTTCATGCGTTCCTCTCTTCTTGTCTCAATATAGTCTTGTCGAATGATATCCAATGTTATTCATAGCTATGTAATTTCTTTGACTATTATTTTAGATAAAATGGAACCAACTGTTGCTTATCAGCGCAAACGAGCATTAATAATTGGTATCAATAGTTACATTAGGGATTCATTGACTTACTGTATCAACGATGCTACGGATATGAAATCAACTCTGAAAAGTATCGGATTTAGGGTCGTGTTAGGCATCGATTGTAACCGTGACGAGTTCTATGACATTGTTGATCAATTTGTCTCAAGAATTCAGAGTACTGATTTAACATTATTTTATTTTGCTGGGCATAGAAAACAAAGTGACAATGAAAATTATTTACTACCTTCGGATTACGATTATGATCATCGTCGTAGTGAGCATGAATATATTGAAAACCATGGTATTAATGCAAATTATATAATGAAGAAAATAGAGGATAAAAAATGCTGTGTGTCAATATTAATATTTGACTGTTGTCGAAAACCGGTGAAAGAACGCGCTCAATGTTTCCGGGGTTTATCAGCTATGCATGCACCGTATCATACTCGAATAGCATTTTCTTGTGAGCCCGGTAAAACGGCACTTGATGAAACGCAAAATGGTAGAAATAGTATTTTTGCTGGAAGTTTGCTAGAGCACATGGTAACACCGAATATCCATATTGAGGACATCTTCAGGAAAGTTGCTCCTACAGTTAAGTTGCAAAGTGGTGGGTTTCAACGGCCTTTTCGATCAACTAACATTACTGAAAAAGTTTACTTGGCAACAAATGATGTTTCGACAAGAAAAATAAGGCAGTGCGTTGAGTCTGGAGGATTACAAGAACCCCAAGATACGGTGCCGATACAACAATACGAGAGGACTATGATAATACCTTCTGGTAACGAAGATACAGACAACAAAAGAGAACAATGCAAACAACTGCATACAGGTATAGCGAGAATGCAGTTAGTAAGATAGGATGCGTGTAGATGAATTGATGATTTACACCCAGACTCCATACCCGTTCGAGTAGTCACTTTAGCCAATAAGAACTTCTGAAAAATACTGCTGCTTTATTAGATTAATATTAAAATTTCTTCGATTTTTATAGATGCTGCTGCAATGTCTATAAATCTTCGAATGGACGATCTACTGCAATCTGCATTGAATTTGGTTCAAAAAGATTCTAAGTTGAAATCGCTTGTTGAAAAAGAAATTGAAATAATGATGGTTGGCGACACGAGTGAACTGTTTGCGATATTCTATGGTTCGAGTATGACTGCTAATTCGGGAATAGAAAAGCCCAATGAAAAAGAAATATTATACTTATTACTTGATTATTTATTGTCAAAAATGGAAAACAGAGAAGAAACCAATAGCAGTAGAAGAATTTTCTCGATGCTAGATGAGCAAAGAAATAAAATGAAAACCATTTTTGAAATATTAAAGCAATGGCTTGTTGATCTGATAGTAGTGAGTTCTATTAAAAAATCCTCAGAGAAAAATCAAGACGTTAAAAATTATGCTGTTGTACTACAGGAAAGACTTCACAGTCTCAATGATATCTGCATTTTACCAAGTGGTTTCGCGAGAATTGATTTCAGCAGTTCCAATTTTCCAAATTTCCTTATCTTAGAAAACAAATATACTGGCCCACACTATGGTGCCTCCATTATTGAATCCGAAGGCAAAGAGTTCAAAAGATTAGTTCAAATAGATCCAATAAGTCCTTATCAGAGATCGTTTCGTGAACTCACAAAAGATAAAATTAGTTTAGGATTAGAAATCAAGAAGATTCCATCAGCAAATTTTGATGTTAATTTTTTCCTACATCTAATGACACTTAGAACTATTCCAGGTGTTTCGAGTTATGAATGGACAGACCTTTATGAAGTTGTTTTATCAAAACTAGGTGGAGAAGGATATTTAAGGAATGAAAAAGAATTTTTTGTGAATATGGAAGAGAAAGGATTGTTCAGTTTGTCATGGACCCTTGTAAAGAATGTGTTTTATTATTTATTAAAAAGATTCTTTGACTACCAAGAAGCACACTCTTTATATGTCAAAATACTTTGTGAATTCCAATTTATATTGCTAATAAGTAGTTTCGACAAATATAGAAAGTTAGAGACTAGTGATAAATTAAATCGTCTAAAATATCAATTTTTACTCCATGAGATGTGTAATAAAGAGGCATATGATGCTTTAAATGGTGCGGAAAAGAAAAAGAAAGTAATCGGTAACTACATGGTGACTGTTCAGGAGACCATCGATTCTAATAATAGAAACTTCAATAAAGAAAAGCGAAAAGAGACATGTCTTAAGAAAATAACAAGTCAACATAAAAATATCCAAAGCGTATTATTAGAAAATCTAAGAGGAATAAAATTTATTCAAAAAGACGTCACTAGCAATATTGCTTCTGTGTGCAATAATACGCTACGGAAACAATTTTCTTTTCCCACGCTTAATTTCGGAAAAAATAAAAATAACGTGGAAATAGCTAACTGTAGTCAAATGTTAGATGAACTGACTCAATATTATGGATTTAATCGAGTAATTCAAATCTCTCAGTTAATAGAAGATTTTGTATTTTCGATTGCTCAATATAATGGATTTAGAAGTTGGTACAGTCATGAAAAATCTAATGTTGAAGTAGCTCGGATATTAATTCGTATCGCAAATCTCTATTATAATTGCTCTGCTATCATTGCTTCTCAATTATGTCCTGATGAAAATTGTTTATACGAACCAACTTACTATACAAAACTTGTTCTCATTCTATTTAGTCTTTTTGCGATGATGGAAGATTTAGTTCGAAATGATGAAACGATTGGTTCTAGTCTTACAAGTTACACAATAAGCACTGAATTGAAGAATATTTCTTTAAAATTAGTCATTCCGCAATTAGCTTTGCCAGAGAGAAAATGGTTTGACTTATTAAATAAAATTGAAGAATATTTTGAATTATTTAAAACTGATGTTGAACAAAGTAACACAAAAAGAAATTGCCTTTTCCATCACTCGTCACTTTCGATAGATAATAACTCTGATGACAATAATACTGATGTGATTTATATGCTACATGTCTTGAAAAATAATTTTACTGATAGTTACACAAAGTTTGAAGAAACCCTCAAAGATGTCAAAGCAGATGAATATTAAAAAAAATGGCATGAATTTTTATTTACTGATAAGTATATACCAGAGTTGTTAAGATGTTTGAGAGATATCTCATATTTGTCTCAATTATCTTTGTGTGGTTTTTCTGTACAAGCTATAAAGAAAATAAAATCTTCATCGTCTACACATACAAATATGTATAATCGTTTCAGCTGTATTTTCAACCAGTATCTTGTAATCTCTGATTTAGGCATCCAAGTGGATTCTTCTAGTGACCCAAGGCGATTTGTCGATTTTACGTTGTCTGAAAAGCAAAAAGAATATCAGAGACTAATTGTATTCGACTATGACCAAAAGCATAAAAGCAATATGGCCGAAAATGAAATTATTAGTACTCAGAACGAAAAGCCAGATAAATTGACAAGACCACAATATTACCGTTTAGGTTCTATTCAGCTACACAGTTATCTAAAATTTACACTCTTGTATATTGCATTAAAAAATGATGAGATTAACTTCGAGATAGAAGAGCATTGTTATTTAGTTAAACAAGCTTTACATAAACTAGGTACCTACGACAAAAGCTGTTTGTTAGAAAAACAATTTCAGAACGAAAAATTTGCTCTTGCATTGGTAACTAAATTCGTTGAAATAGTTTTGGATTTAAAAGAAAGACTTACATAATATAAGTCAATGGGTCATGGGTTAGATATATTGTTGTATTTGTACGACTTTTGATCTGATAATACTAAAAAAAAATAATTGACGACTGTTTAGTGAAACTTCGACTTGTACTATTGAGGTACATAGATGAGAAAAAAAATATATCAAATCTCAATGACAATCAAACTGTAATATCTATCTTGAGCTGTTATTATATTTTAACGTATAAAAAATTGACAAAGATCAATGAAACAGAGGTTTCACAAATCCTCAAATTAAGAATTTTAATAGATACCAATGCCCAATTGTACAGTTTCATTCCAACTATCTTGTACATAAAAACAATGGCAACTCTTTTTAACTTGAATTCAAAAATTGAAAATATTATCGATAACAATTTAAGTATATTAGATACTTGTATTGACAGTTCAAACGGATCATGGATAAAAGATACAAGTATGAATCTATATGTTAAAGATTGTTACTCTTTAGTACCTTTGAAGGGTCGTTTATTCAAAAATGGTCATCCTTTCGTATGTTTGCCGAGCAGAATTGTTAATCATTTACATTATAAAGAATGCTCTGGAACACAAAATTTTCTTGTAGAAGTTGCTGAGAGAAGTGCTTTTGGACAGATATTGCATTGTTATCAAACAAAAACTAAAGAATCTGTAAACATTCGAGTTAGTTTCCTGGCAAATAATAATATTTGGATTGAAGCTAATAATGAAACATTTGTTTCACGAAGTTATTTAAATGGATTACCGAAATTCTTTCTAGAGGATTCTTCACATTTGGAAAATGAAACAAAATTTTTTTATAGTCATTGGTATGTGAATGACAAGATACTTATTAAAAATGAAAATAAAACAGTGAAATTGGTCATAGACTTAAATAATAACGAAATTTATTCAAATGATCATGACAAATTTCTTATTCCTTTCACTAAAGATGCATTTGATCCATCAAATGTCTTATATACGATATTTTCTCGATTTGAAGACGAAAATTATATATTAGCATTAAAAAATAATCAACAAGACAGTGAAGCAGTCATAATCTATCTACCTAGACTAAATTTGAAATTCAGTATTCAGGGTCAAAAAATTAAATCGGAAGATTTTAAAGATTATCGTTTAAGTCCAAATCAACATATTAATACACTTTTCGGACTGCCACAGTATTTAGTAATAGAACTAGATATTGAAACTAATAATCCAATTAAGTTCAATCGAAAAATAATTATTCCCTATCACCCAATTGAAAATAAAAAAGCGTTTTTTTCTAATGCAATTCAGTTTAATTTAGATAAAGTCGGAAAGCCAGCGTATTTTTCATATGAAATTGATGAAAACGTGAAAAGTCTCAATTCAGAAACGACAGCTGGGAGTCTATATCTTGCTCTACTCTATTTTAAAACTGCGACTTTAGATAAAGATGCGTTCCTTGAAATGAATGGTTATGAAGTTTGTGCGGAAATTCTTAAAACCTGTTGGCAAAATTGTCAATATTCAGACATAGAATTTAATATAATTTTAAAATTTTTTGAAAGTACATGTCCAGATTTAGAAAAGCCATGGTCGAATTATGCTGGCAAAGAAGAGGAAATGTTTAAAAGTGCTATTCATGGACTGAATCCTCATCATCGTAATACTTACGCTATTTTTCTTCGATTAATTTATCTTTTATTAAGTAGTTATCAAACAGATTTTTTAATTAAACCAGATGGCAGTAAGAAAAAACTTTGTTATTATTTACAAAAAGAATTTGTTAAGTATCATTTCAACTTTTACTTGATTTTCAAGGATCGTATTGACAAACGATGTCGATTGTCTCTTGAAGAAGAAAAAAACTATTGTCGCCTTGCGTAGAAAATTGTTCGAACTCTAGAGTTTCAGATTATTACCGATCCATAAACAATAAAAAAGAACTTGAGTTAATATCGATTGAACCGAAAGATTATAAATGTTTACAAAACTCATTTTTTTCAAGAACATCAATTAAACAATGTATGTTTGAAGAACGAGTCAGGATTGCTTTGAAAAAGAAGTTTTCACAGTCTTACCATTTCCTCAGTAATGAAAGCTGTAATGTTAAGAATCTGTTTAGTGAATGGGTTAACGTTAAATTCGCACTTTGTTTCGCTTTATTGAATATCATTAGATATAGAAGACACCAGTGCTTTTAATAAAGAAAGTTTTTCACAATTTTTAGCATATTTATTTTTGAAAGCGTCTGACGATGATCAGGTTTTTATAAGGATGCTTTACATAGTTTCTCTCGTTCCAAAAGTGTTTAAATCTTTGCCGAATTTTTTATTGTTAGAGACGAATGAAATTAATTATGATCAGAAATATAACTTGGATAGCAATTCAATGAAAGTCTGTGAAAATGATATTCCAAATATTCCTGATATTAATGATAATATGCATAAGAAAGTTAAACGTTCCATTTGGTCTGTCTGGAACAACGAGTATCTTAATGAAGAACAACAATCGAAATTTAGTGTAAAAGATTTAATAGATCCAGAATTCAAACTAAAATTTCGGGACACTTTTGAAACAATCTTGAATCAAATGAATGTCTATGCTAATTCTAGTAATTTCGTGGACGTCTTATATGGCAAACTTCTTACTAAAAGTAAAAACAAAGAACTGTATGAATTTTTTACCGATATTTCCAATCAGTGTAAGACAATCGTTAATTCAGAAAGAATTGGTTATGCTGTTATGAATACAAAACATTTATCTGATTTCAAAATGAGTTTATCCGTTACGGATATTGAAAATCAGATTAATAAGAACTACTCCTACTCAGAAATCAACGAAAATTACTTAATGGAATTAGAATGGACAGTGAAAAGCATTGATAGAAAAGAACATTATGAAAATCTGCAGAAATTTTTTGATATTAAGTCTTACTATCCTGAAAACATACATTTTCCTCTCGATCCCAAAAATCTTCCTGAGAGATCTAGTGTCAAAGAAGCATTTTCAAATGGATATGGAAAAACATTCATACATGATTTAGAAGAAAGTTATGGGCAACAATCGCCTATAGTGAAAATTAACGAAAAATACTTTTTTTTTTTGATGAAAGCACGAAAAAAAGGCATTGATATTTTAAAGGAGTTAGAATGCAATTATCGAAAAGAATTTGATTATTTAGAATATAGATTGAGTGAAATTAAAAATGATTTGCTGTTAGATGTAGAACAATGGATTAAGAAAGAAAATTCCCACAAATATATTTCTCGAAACGAAAGAGAAAAAATAATAAGTATGAGGGCCCGATTCGATGTTCAATGTAACAAAATTAATAGTGAATTAATCAAACGAAATATTGTGTCTGAACCACTTGCATTAGAACCACTTAGGCAAAGGTTAGGAAGATTTAAAACTGATGTGAACCTTAAACGAGAAGCTAAAAAATGGCTCATGGATTTAGACGATCTTGAAACAAAAATAGAAGATTTTATTGTCGAAAACGATAATCTATTCAAGCTGTATTTAAATTATCATCATGAACAACGTATTATAAGTCCTTCTATTTTAAAGTTAATACATAAAAGACGAAAAATCAGTATTTCAGTATATAAAAAATTAGATATGCCAAAGTTTGAACTAAAAATAATAGAAAACTATAGTTATACCAGTAATGAATTTAAGGCACAATTCCAGTTTTGGTTAAACGAAGACCTATTTTGTCAGATAGAAACAAAAGAGATAGAAGATGATGAAATTCTAGAGAGATTTAAGAGTAATTCATATGTTGTTGGATATTTGCAAACACCAAAAAATGAAATTCATTTAAAAGATGAATATGATATAAATAATGTCACTAATATTTTAATTAAATATTTTTGTCAATATAAAAAAGCTAGTAGAGATCTGTTAAAAGAAATAAGACAAAATATCAATTCAATTGCAATTAGATCCGATAAAGCGAATATTTTTGTTTTACATCAAATTATAGGACAAACAACTGTTCCAACTAAAAAAGAAATTCAATCCTTTTATCATAGATCAAAAATATCAGTTTTATGAAAAAATAGAATGTTATTTAGTTCAGAAAATATTGATTCAGCAAATTAAAAGAGTCATTTTTTTAATTTTCAAATATAAGTCATTAAATCCGGAAAATGATAAAGATGAAAGACAAAGAATCTTAGAAAATATTCTAACGAATATTTTATCGGAAAGAAGTTATGATACGAAAGAATATCCATCTTGGTTGTTTTTTGAGATAAAAAATAATCTTTTAATTTGTGACACTCAATATTCACTTATAAAAACAATGATGAAAGAAGAAGACAATAGTATTTATCAGTTAAATATGGGAGAAGGTAAAACATCAATTATTTTAATTATATTCAGTGAGATGATAGCTGATGGTAAACAAGTTGTTAGGATTAACTGCTTAGAGTCATTAATGGGTGTTACACAAGAATTGTTAAGAAATAAATTTAGTGGATTGTTTCAAAAGAAAATATATGTAATGCCATTTTCACGAAGAGTTATGTTTTCGAAGGAAAATCTTGAAAGAATTAAAGAAATGCTAACCGAGTGCTAAAATGGAAAACATATTCTATTAGTAACATCTGAACAACGCTTGTGTTTTCAATTGAAAAAACAAGAAATGTTTTTGGAATATCTGAAATCAAAAGATGCAGATGATTTTTTCGATTGGGACGAACATCATCATCGATCATATACCTACACAATTAATCCTAAAACATCGCGTGGCTTAACAGACTCTCAACAAAATTTAAAACAAGCATTACAGTCATTAGGGTACATCGACAATAATAATAAAATATTGAAATATCCTTCTGAAAGTTTTGAAGAATTCATTGAATTTCGTCGCCAGGTATATAATAAATTTAGTCAGGGAACGTGGTATGACATTAGGAACGCTTACGACATTTTAAGAGATCAATCAACACAACTCAAGAGTCAACGTCAACAAAAACTAGATTTGCTATATTCGATTGATGAATTTAAATTCTTTGATATACTTGATGAATCTGATGAAATCTTACGTCATGGAAAAGAATTAAATTACACGTTAGGATTATCTAAAACTTTAGATGGCGGTCAAATTCGTTGGGAAATTCCATTTTTGCTATTCAAAATCATTCTTACTGAAAACAAATTTAGTGAGAGTCTCAAAAAGTTTTCACAAGAAGATGACTGTCCTCTTGTTTTTCAGGAAAATTTTATATCAGTAAGTGGAATTGGAGGAGGAAGTCCTCTTGTACGCTTTGTCAAATATGATTTTTTTCTACAAAATATTAAGCCAGATCTTTGTCAAAAACTTTGTGAAATATTACTCGCAAGGTTTCGTCTAAAACAAACTAACATAATTGACGATGACGGTGAAAACTATGGAAGTTATGAGGACTTTGTTGAAGGGAAATGTTTATTCAAGGAAGATAGAATAATTAAATTGTTGAAAACAAAAAGTCGGGATATGTTAAATAGCTTTTTATTAGCAAAAGCTTGGTTATCTCATAAGTTACTTTATCATGTCATGAGTTATCGTTATAGAGTTGAATATGGATTGTCTGAAAAGAGAGGAAAAGAAATTGCTATTCCATTTCGAGGTAAAGATTTACCATCTGAAAATTCAGAGTTTAGTCATCCTGATATTATGATTGGTTTTACAATCCTTAGTTATTTATATCGAGGATTAGATTCAAAACAAGTGAAAAACGGGTTAATTAAACTGAAAAATGATCCAAAACAAGATAAAGATAGTTTATTACAAAAATGGGTTCAAGAAAATAAAAATTGGATTGAGGAACGAAGTCAAAAAGAAAAAGAGGGATTTCCAGAATGGTTAAAATCTTTCAAAACTCTTGATCTTGAGAATGAAGATAGAATTAAAAAGGCTCATTTTTATCTTTCTCGAAACTTTAGTTTTGTTCAATACTATTTAAGTAATTTCACGTTTACAAATGGTACTAAATATTATGAAAAGAAACTTACAGGAAATGCTCATACATTAGCAGGTGAAGGAAAAACCAAAGGATTTTCAGGTACTGATGATTGTAATGATACGATGCCTGAACCGATCGCACCAAACCGATTACCATCTCAAGAGGGAACAAACAGCAAGATGTTACATATTTTATCACGAGATGTAAATAAAACATATCAGTCAAAAATAGAAATATCTAGTACTATGGAACTTTTAGATCAGGTTTGTGAATATGCGAAGCAAAATAAGGATTGTTATGTTTTAATTGACGCAGGCGCTATCATTACAGAAATAAGCAATTTTGACGTATGTAAATATCTGATTAAAAAAATTGATAAAAGATTTGACGGAATTGTCTATTTTTCTGATAAAAATAATAAAATAATAATTATTTTAAGAAATGAAGAATATTTCCCTCTGTCAACGTGCCATATTGATAATAAAAAATTATTTGTTTATTTGGATAAAGTTCATACTCGTGGAACTGATTTGAAACTGCCATTAACTGCACGTGGCATGGTAACACTTGGAAAAAATATGAATAAAGATAAACTTATGCAAGCAGTTATGCGTCTTCGTGAACTTGACTTTAAGCAATCGATTGTATTATGGGGTACAAAAGAAATTTCAGCAGAAATTGCAAATATAAATGGAATGACAATAGACAATATAACAAATAAACACGTTTTAATATGGGTCACTTATAATACAATTCAAAAAAATGAGAATGATTTATATCTTGTTACGAAAGAGAAATTAAAATACGTAATCAAACGTAGAGCACTTGAATATCAAAAGAAAATTAAAGAGATCCCGATGGATTCTCTCATTATAGCATATGTAAGTGAAGGTTTGGATAGCATAGAAAAATCATATGGTATTACCCCTTAGAAGCGAAATCCAGCAGATCTTTTGAACAGAAATATGGGTGTTTATTTAAGTGACTTTTATCCACGTTTAAAAAGTGAACTAGAAAAGGAAAAGCAATGTTTAGAATTAATTAAAGAGATTGATAGAAATCTGAAGGATGTTGATAGGCCAAAAATGAAAAGAATTCTAGAAAGAGTAGATCACAAACTTCCTAGTACTATATTAACCGTCAATGCTGATTATAATTGTGACCAAGAAAATGAAAGAGAAATTGAAGAAATGGAGCAGGCTGAGGTTGCTTCTGTAGTAGGAAAAACATCGGCACATGAAGATACTTGGACTTTCGATACGGTCTTTGAACAAAATTTTAGAGAGAAATGTTTACGAGAGGAGAAAGGCTATCTAAAATTAAAACAATTGAGAAAATGTTTTGAGTTTACCGATATTAAGCATCTGAAAAACTTGAAATGGCACAATAAAGTCTTGGCGACAGAAAATTTTATAACAACAATTGAAGACGTAGATGACAAAAACAAACGAAATCAAACCGATTATTTGAAACCAGTTAACATGATATTAATTCATCGAACAGGTAAAGAAGTGTATTTTATTATAGTTTCTACGTTTGAGGCTCAATATCTAATTAAGTTATTTCATGAAAAACAAGATCCTAAAGTAAGCATAATGCATATCGATGATGTGAATGGTCCTACCATGGTTCCAACAAATGCTGTAATGTTAACCAAAGAAGAAATCAATAAGGTAGTAGCTGTCATTCGATTATTTAATGGAGATTGTCATTATAATACAGAAGAAATCAATGTGATAAAAAAATGTGTTGCTATTGTTGAGAGCAATGCTTTTCATGAAAAGAAAACAAAATCTGAAGAAATTCATAATGAACTTGAATCTAGACACTATCTTACGAACAGTTTTATAACTTCTAAATTAGCAACTCAATTAGCTAATGAAAATGACAGAATCTTACTAGAAACAGAAGCTGAGTTAGGAATTGATCTTCAACATCGGCTTCATTCGATTATTAATGAAAGTATTTCAGAAGATGCTGAAATTGTTTGGAGATTACCTGAGCTAATTAAACAGTTGATTCGAATTAGAGGGAAAAGTGAACAATATTAAAGGAGCGAATTAAGAGATATACTCGATAAGCATCTAGAGTGAATATTTAATTCCTGTTTCTAAGATCCCTTTATTAAACTTTCAAACAACTTTCTTAGATACTGTATTGATATATATATAATTGCTTCTATTCTATGATTTATTTGTTCTACATCCTACTGAAACAAATCTTTTAGAAATATTTGACGGATGCGTTAAAAGTTTTTAGTGTCCTAGTCCTATGCTAATTTCATCGTGATAAGTATTTCAATACCAGAACGGAATTTACCATTTTTTGATAGTAGAAAACACTTTTTACATGTCATAATAACACTCAAAGTTGTCCTCATTTTCTTCAATATTTCACATTTATATTTTAGTTATACTCATTGTTTTTCCTTCTATTATTGGTAACTTTTCTGTAACCTTTACAAGCGAATTAGTTTTTATTTGAATGTATTTTATTGAAAGATACTTTTCTTTTCTATTTTTGTGTAACTATGCCTTCTATAATCAAAAATTTTATGCTAATCTTGCTATTCGTTTATTTTGATTATAGTAAGAGTACAGGGTATGGATGCAGGTTTGTGTGTGTGTGTTTGGTTGGTTGCGGCTTTAGGTTTCGGATGAAATAAGAAGAGGGTGTGGGTTTGAATCTGAGTAACTCTTCATATCCACACCCACACCATAATGATTTGTTAAGTTTTGTCCATCATAACATTTCGTTAAAAGATCAATTATTTTCCTCATGATCTTGTATGACTAGGTGTATCAAATTCAACAAATATACGAATACCACGTTCTGGAGCAAATTCAATTATATCTTTAATATCATTTTGAGAATATATGTGGAGTTCTTTATATGCACCTTTCGAACTCATTTGTAGATAAGTTAAAGATTCATATGAAAATGATTGATCATCAACGATATGAAAATGAAATATATTTAATTTACTTTGTGACATTGCTTTCTGTGTTAATATGTATTACGTTTCAAAAACAATTTGGTAAAAGAAAAAAACTTTACTAGATTCATTTTTAACGTATTAAGAGAAACAAAATATGTTGATGTATCAAATAACAAACCACGATATTGAAAACGAGGAAAATCATTGATTATTGTTTTTCTATCGTTTTAAATTGTTAATCAGAATATTTGTAAATAAATTATAAGTTTCATTTGATTGAAGAGTTGACCATTGATCAGATGATTGTTGAATATTAACATTGAGACGGTTAAGCATAATTGTATCATTAGCTTTGAATAATATTTTGTCAAAATTATATTTGAAAGTATTTTTATTTATTGAAGATTTATTTAATAAATAATATAAATGGGTTTGTGGAAAGAAAATTAATTGATAATATCTTTCGAAAGCATTTATGAATAGATCATCTTGATAACTTGTCGAATTGTAAAGAAAATGAAATGCATCTGAATGACGAGAAAAATGTTAATTTCTTATATTGATCGATTGTGGCATTGACCATGGTTGACGATTTGTAGATCTTATTGAATTAACTTCAATTTCTCTTTTTAATTCAACAAAAATAAACACAAAAGAGAATAAAGAATCAGAAAAAAAAACGAAGCGTCTTCTTTTGTTTTATTCGAAATCGTTTTATAAGCTTTTTATTCTTCACCTACTTATCAATTAAAGATATCTCTTCACGTGATTAACGACAAAATACTTATCTTTGCTTTGTTTTTTCAAGAGAAAACACGAGACTTCGATGATCAAGTTTTCACAAGTCTTTTGTAATCTTTAGTCTGTGATTTAAATTGCTTTAAAGTCTCCTAAAACTTCTGAAGTGTGAAAGTCAGTTGTTTCTTCTAAGGTTTATTTGTTTGATATGATTGATAATAGAATTTTTCGAATGTTAAATATTTGAATTAAGTCATAAAGACATCTAATTTATTATCAAAAAAAAGGAAGTTGATTTCTTTAAATAGTAATTATTGTTTACTCTCATTTGAATAAATTATTAATGTCTATTTTGTATTTATTAATAAATATTAAAAAAAAATCAAATTCAATTTCAAAATTGAGATACTCTCGGATAGATCATTTTTAAGATGATTAAATTTTATGCAAAAAAAAGGATGGGTACTTATAAATTGAAAAAAATACTAAACATCTGCATAAGACTCATCACGTGTTCATTTCAAATAATAATAAAGAAGATGCGTCACTATCTATTATCCACTTATATGTATGAAACAAGACGAATCACGTGTCTAAACTAGATATTAGATGAATGAAACGTCTTGAACAACGTGTGATATTTTTTTACTATAACCATTTCAACAATTGATATCACTGATGAAACTAAGAAAGAACAAATGTCACTTTTTTCCTTCAATGGTAAAATTGATAATACTATAAGATGGCTTGTATGATGACCAACTATTTAATATTATCGAATCATAAAATGCAACAACTAATAGGATATAAAGAGAGTGAACAATGAATTACGTTGTAAAAAACTGAACATGTTCGAGATCAAGAGACCATGTGGCAAAGATAAGAATAGACAGTGAGTAATCGTCTGTTAAAATTTAATCATTCATGAGTTAGAGATTTTCGTTTTTTAGAACCAACAGTTCTACTTTCGTTGTCCAATGAGCTGTTACTCGATCACATTTCCATTTATCTCCATTCAATAGATCTATTACATGCGTTTGGTCAATTGTACAATCGTCGCTTGAATGTTCTTCTTTGTGCACATATTCGTCATATTGATTTCTCAACTACTGATACGTCTGTTGTTTCGATTGATAGATGGTTGTCTTATTTATCGGGGGTGTGGGTGCACCCACACCCATACCCTAAAAATAAGGAGTGAACATATGAATGATACGTTATACATGTTTATTTACGTTTTTGTTTTTCATATTCCAAGGAAGACATAGGAGAAGAATCTTATTATACCTCATGAAATTTATACGATTTCGTACAAAATGTTCTTTGTTATTTGTCTGCTCTTCAATGGCTTGATTTCGGAAAAAAAATATCATTGGCGTTTTAAAACGATACAAGCACATCTAGCCTATGTACATATCACAATTGTAACAGCCGGCAATCTACTTCGTCTGATGAGCATGCAATCATTATCACATTCAGTGCAGCAATTACATATTACAATAAATTATGTGTGTCGTCATAATTCGACCCTAAGTTTACCTCATCCATATCTTACACGTCGAGTGAAAGTCTTACACACGTTTACTTTTATCAAGTCATTAAATTGACACTTTATTGAAGAATGGACTCTCAAGTATTGCTTCGAAATTTTGGAAATTCTGTAGCTCATTATCATTGTATCAATTACTATTCATACTGGTAAACCCCGTTTTCGAAGAGCTTTCATTTGGTATAAAATTTCATGTTGAACTCATTTGCTGTTGGAGTTGCAGCTTCACCCCCCCTCTCTCTCTCTCCCGGGCAAAACATTTTTGGCAACCTTGCAAAAATGTACAAGAAGTACAAAACACCCACCCTTCCAATGAAAGACTTTCATTTAACAAATATCAAACTATTATATACAGTGTAGAGATTGGCTAATTTTCAATTCATAGATAATGAAAACTGAAGAGAATTATATTAATTGCAATTTATCCATTCAGATGCATAAATAAATATTTACTCAAAAAGATCTATAAATTCAGTTAAATGATATTGATGGCATTTTTTTAAACTTCTTGAGTTGATTAAATCCAATTTCATTTCATAAATTTAATCATTTTCAATGCCATATGACAAAGATTGAGCAACAATAATTAGAAGCTGAGTTTATTCATCGGTACTGACGTTTTATTTATTTGTTTTGTACAACTCATTGTTCAGATCAGCAATAATAACATTGATTAAGTAGTTGAAAAAATTTCCTTCATATGAACTGTCTATTCAGTGAATTTTCGCCTG